TGTGTGTGTGTGTGTGTGTGTGTGTGTGTGTGGTGTGTGTGTGCGTGTGTGTGTGTATTTGTGTATATATATATATATATAATATATAATATATAATATATATATATATATATATATATTTAATATATTATATATATATATATATATATATATATATATTATATATATATATATATAATATATATATATATAGGTGGGGAAGCACTTGGATGCGGAGCTCGACTGTCGCATCATGTCTAAAGGAACGAGAGAGGAGTCTGAAAGACCTGAGAGGAAGCACAGAGATGAGGGTATACCAGGCTGTAGTCATGCCCACCCTGTCTTCTTCTGCAGATATGCTTTATTGGAGACACTTCTGTCGGTTGACAGTGCTGCACCAAAGCCCACATGTGGGCTAACCTGGGGGTTTCTTGGAAGGACCAGGTGACGAATGTTGAAGTGTTGCGGAGGGACGGAATGCCATCAATCAAATCCATGCTGGTTCGCATGCAGCTGAGCTGGGTGCGTCATGTACAGCAGATACTTGATTGACGCATCCCCAAGCTCCTGCCCTATGGACAGTTGGGCGATGGTGTGCGGAGATTTTAAAACGCCACCTGGTCAGCGCACCACACCATCACCCACTGTATGTTATATTCCGAGTATAATCCTGCATTCGCCATCTGTTACATGCAGTGCAACCTCCGCAAGTTGTGATCCATAATGTTGCGTTACCTTCCCGCACCTTACATATAATTGAGCAACTCATTTGCTAAGCAGCCAACCCGGTAACAGACGCCCACCGTAAGTCAGAGCCCCAGTATCTTTGTTCCCAAAGGATCATTCATCTTTAGTTTAATTCCTACACTTACAGCGAAGGACTTGCTTTGTCCCGGGCTCTCCTGCAGCACCTTGGTCCATTGCAGGTTCACCACAGAAGGGTTCCATTTCTTCCTTGGCTGTTGCCACTTATCTTGTGCTATTGCCGACTTCCAAATAAAGGAGGAACCACAAATTCATCTGCTGCCCCGGACCTAAGTACCTACAGCATGGGCATTCCATCCGCACCGCTATCAACAACACATCTACAGTGTATGTCCGTGTATGTGCAAGCGTACATGTATGTGAGTGTGTGCCATAGGTTAATTAAATTTACATAACGGAGTAAAATTACATCATGAGAAAAGATGCAGATTGATGAGAATTTACAAAAAATAATCCTGTGAACAAAATATACTATATAGGTTGATCCTGTTCACAACCTTAATCAAATGCCAGTATACAGATATAAAAGATGAATGCAGCTGCTTGTGGGTAACAGAGCCCTTAGTTGGATAAAGCGCCAACCCAAGTGGAATAACTCAGATTCGTAGTAATCCATCCCCTACGGAAAATATCAGAGACCGATTAAAATGACAAACAATGGTAAGCACCGACTGGCTCAGGCGAGACCGCTCAGACACTTTACGTGCTATCCTGATCAACAGGCGATTGTGCTTAAAAGTAGGAAAAGCGAGGGTAGGAATTTCCCAAATGTAGCTGATCAAAAACATTAACTACAGAAGAAGTTGTTAAACAACCTGTCTCCTCAAGAAGAAACGCGTGGACCAAGACGGGCCACGGGGGAGTGAGGAGCCTTGAGGCGCTGGCTCTACTCTTGGGACATTTGGAAGTGCCTGTTATATCCATTCGCTCATTTCAGGAATGGATTCAGTTACAATGATCGGAAAATACAAAAATAAAGTGAACTATTACAGTAAACCCTACCTTGGCTCTTGAAGATGCGGGAGACATTTTGTCTCCACTTTGCATCGGACTGGCCCGCGGAGGAATGCAACCGCGCTGTGGCTTTTCCTCGTCTTTTCGAGTTATAAAATTTTGTCTAAGCTTAGTCTAGCGACGAAGGTTGATCGAAATCCGGTTGCAGTCTCAGTTAAGATTAGCATTGCTGGCTTGAAACGGGCGCCATGATTCTGCGCAGAAAAATATAGCACATGCTATAAAATAAAATATATATTACCTTCAATAAAATTCTGGTTGCAAGAAACGATGCTGTTTCGTGGGTGAATTGTATTATTTCTAGATACTTTTATTCCAGTAGGATAGTAGTTGGATACAGGTGTGAGGGAGGGGGCGACGGCGCCATCCCGCCGTTAGCCAGTAGGAATGCGTAGGTTAGGGGCGTTAGGAATTTTCCCAGTCGCTTTGGTGTGTGTTGTACGTGTCTGGTATTTCAGATAGTGGTCACTCATGAATTCGTGATAATGAGCGGTCCTTACAAAGGTTTTCACAAAGGTGATGTGCAGGTAAAAAAAAAAAAAAAAAAAGTAAAAATCCTTGTAAATCATGTATATCCCTGGAATTCGTAAATTTCCTTGTAAAGGTTTGACTTCGCTCACAGTATTCGCATGTGTTACGAGTGCAAGATCATATTCTCTTGCTGGAGTATTACACATTGTATAAAAATACGCAATGTACCAAAAGTGAAACCGCAAATCTGCTATAATTATCCCGGCCTATA